GTTCGTACCTCGCGTTGTGGCCTCAATAACTCAGGTTCGAATCTTGGTCACTGCATAGCTACTGTGTAGCAATGTCACGGCATGAGTGTGTTTTGGCTGTGTGAATTTATTCATAATAGGTGCGAGGAAATTTCTCATGTGCATTCCGGTGGTTGAAATATGATAACTGGAATAAGTAGATAATGTAGATATGATAAGTAGAAGTGACTGGAATATGATAACTGACTGGAAGTCACTGTAAAGAATCACATTGTAAGAACCAACAGAGACGAATACAAATCGCTGAGACACAAATTGATGGGAAATAGGTTCAAGCGAGTAGGATTTATGCCACATACTATTTATTATTATGGATAAACAGTGAAGATTTTACGAATGCCGAAATTAATTGTAGTAAACTTAAGAACACATAACCACTTACAATTCTGCGCAGGCATATATATATTATTATGTTGCCTGCTCTCTTTCTCGCTCCCGCGCGCGAGTGTCATCTAGCGTGCTCTCCCTCTCTATTCCGTGACAGTTCCTTGGACTAAGAGGATTATTCTGACGATTACCATCATTCTTGGCGATGATATACGAGATTAAGAGCTGCTGTACTTGCACCCGACGCAGGTCGACGCCAATGACGAGGAGGCGATATTCCGCGAGCTGTTCGCGCCGAGCTTCACCGCCTACAAATCTGTCAAGTATGAATCTCGCGGCTGGTTCGTGGGCATCTCACGGAACGGACACGCGAAGCCGGGCCGCAAGACTGTGCTAGGTCAGGCAGCTACTAGCTTCCTGCTTCGAGACGCCGCCGACAGCTGACCCGATACCATAACCATGCATGCAGGTGAGACATCTCGTGTAGAAGAAGAAGAAGAAGAAGAAGAGGGAGAAAAAGAAGAAGAAGAAGAAGAGGAAGAAGAAGAAGAAGAAGAAGAAGAAGAAGAAGTGATGGATCTTGATCTCGCCTGCGGAGTTGATAACGCGAACGGGTTGATATCGCAGATGGCATCTATAAACACGGTGAGAAAGAGAAAAGAGAGGCGAGCGAGAGAGAAGATGAGGGGGACGTGCGGTACGTCCACCGTTGATGCGTCCCGGCATCGGTTTACACGTGGTAGTAGTGACGACGCTTAATGGGGAAAACGTAGGTATCAGGGCCGTAGTCTGGAGCAAAATCCTAAGTTGTTGTGATGGAGGAGCGAAATTTCGTGACTCAGCTGAGTGATGCGAGAGATGTATGCAGCAGCTTCAGGTCAGCGTGCATGGTGTGACGGGGTGGGTGCGGGACGAGGGTTTCACGGATGATCACGTAACGACTCGCGCTGGTTTTAGGATTATTTGCATTTACAATGCCATTATTTTATTTAATATATTATTTATCTAAAATGTATGGGGCAACTGCACCGGTGTCCGCCAAAGGCTACAGTCCTGAGCGCTCTACGTGCCGACATGCTACAGAGAGGGTTAACAAGAGAGAGAGAGAGAGAAAAGGAGAAAAAAAGAAAGAGAGAGAGAGAAAAGGAAAGAGAATAAGAAAGAAAGAAAGAGAGAGAGAGAGAGAGAGAGAGACAGAGCGTTTTTTGGATGTCACAAAAATTGAGTGCTCGCGTCCGTTTCCTTCTACCTCAATAAATACCCTACTTAGGGATATTAGAAATAAAATAAATAGTTTACTATAGTAATAATAAATTATATAGACTATAAATTAGATAGAATAGTGATGCGTAAATGTAAAGATATGAAGTCTTTAGCATCGTACTTACTATCTATACGTATACATGAGTTATTTATTATACGATTTATGACATACGCATACACGCACAGATATAATCAAACACGACCGCATGCATTCACGCACGCGCGCACGTACGCTCGTACGTACGTACACACATATGTACGCATATATGAACACACACACACACACACACACACACACACACACACACACACACACACACACACACACACACACACACATATATGTATATATCATATCAAGAGTAGATAATAACTACTGTTAAATATAATGTTATTATCTACTCTTGATCATATATATATACAGGACGGGCCCGGTAAAGTGAGAAATACTGGTTATATATACCTTGCAGTATATTCTGTAGTTAGACTGACTCCATGTCGTTTCCAAATCAAAATCTTTTTGCATGCGTTTAAAGACGTGAAATCCAATCTAGATCGCATTGATTTATGTTTTTACCAGTTGGAGAGCGAAACGCCAATCAGGATCACTCCCGACTCTTAAATTCCAGTTTTATTACTTTTTGTCGAATGATTATTGTTGGGGGGATAATTTTCATTTATTTTTGACTTCGTGTATTCTGTCGTATTATTTTCCCATGAACTAAGCTTCCACATTTTCCACACATTTTGCATACATATTCGGTATTTTACGTCTAGAAGTTACAGGTGTGATAATGTGTATCCTTTTTCAGAGATAATTTTGAATTAATTGCGAAATATTCCTAAAGCTAAATAACATTCGTATAGGTTTCGTATTTACCGCATTTGGCTGTAAATGGGTTAGGTGCTTGACCCACCTTGGGGCGTAGATTATGGATTCATCATCTATCGTGATCACCTGCTACTGTGCAAGCAGCGTCCAACGATATTACCAGCGTAAGTGTGTGAGTTTGTTGTATTTATTATATCTAATCTCACACTATGTAAATAAAAAGGCGCGATACGCGTGTGAAACTACGCCCGTAGTACATATAGGGCCTACTTATGGCTACGTTAGGCCTATACGCCGTCATCAATTCGTGTTACACATCACGTTTCAGTAGATCGTTTGTTAGCATTAGCTAAGATGTTTCATACAGCCCGTACTAATACTGGAGACTGATTAGGGAAAATACTACTAATAAACTGTTTCAGTTCGCACTTGCACGATTGTTTCAAATTGATTTGATTTTAGTTTTAGGCACACACTGTCAACTAACGGTTCAGTATAAAGCAGTATAATATATACACTTCTTAACAAAGTCGGTTTTTAAATAAATACATGCATTTCATGCTAAATTGATTATAAGAATTGCAAGAATTAATGTTAACACCTAAATAAGTTATTTCCCTCGTTTGTTAGAATCGACACTCTATAATTAATCGCGCATATTCATTTATCCTATACAGCCATTCATCGCACCAATTAATGAGTGCTTATATACCTTTAGTTAACTTTTCTGTCAGACGTTATTAAAGGCAACTCTGTGCAATTGTTGATGTAGTATGACACTGTTAATTGGCATTGAAGAGTAGCAAATTCGACAATATGGCGTGCACGCTCAAAAATCGGGTGCAAGCTGGATCAGGTCGACTGACCTATAGCAACTGTAACCAAGTGGGCGTGGTTATCTCGCTCAGACCAGCATTTTACCAGCATTTGCTACATCGAACTTTTATATTTTTCCTGCACATTTTAACCACGGTGGGCCCGTCGTAGTTTGACGGTACAAGCGTGTCATGTTGAAAACATCAAGTAAAATACTACGACGATGAACGTCTCATTGCAGTATAGGCATCATATGGTAAGCATCAAGAGTGCTCTCATATAAAAATCCGTCTCATTACCGACATCTTGTATCTTCCTATTTTTGCGCGCACACATGAAATCAGTTTTTTTTTATTTAGTGCTCCACCCATATTTTTTTATGTGTGATTGCAACCATGTTTGACAGTCGGTCGTCGGTTGGTTGCTCTGACTAGTAGAATGAAATTGCAATTCGTTGTTTGTCCGATATGTTGGAATGGTTGCGCGTAAAGACGCACACATATTGCCGACATTGGGCATCCTGCAGGAATTCTTGAAGCCTGTACCCACGAATTCAGAAATACTCACGAGCCACAAACTAGCATACGAATATAGCCGTTATACATTGCGTCATCCATATATCCAGTGTAGCTTCCTTCGTAACGACACGTAAACGGCCAACATAGGGGATGTGATTACGATTTTATCCCGTTTAATATGATTAATTAGTGTGGAGACAGGAGACGATTATGTTGGTACTCCGGCCCGTAATTCATTATGGCTTATTTCCGTTGATTATAACAAGCATATACAATGGACCAGGCAATATAACCAGGCATCACTCCTGTAGAGGCAACTGCGGTTTACGTGAATGTGAATGTGTTTAGAATATTGCAATCATCTCCCGCCAGATGGCGCGACGTGAACATAATGAAAGTATCAAGAGCTAATAAATATTATTATTAGCCCTTGAAAGTATTATAGTAGCCACCGTAGGGTACCAAACTGTGTTAAGAAACTTGAAAGTATATACACAACACATGCACATAATTTGGTATTTAACTGAAGACATGTGCAACCGGTTCCAGAATATATATGTATAATATATATATATTGGACAAAGATTAGCTTTATGCGGTTCACGCTGACGCTGTAGGTCTAATTATTTGGTTAATTGTGATTTAGGGAATGTTACGACCTAGTATGGGAATACGGTGATTGTTTCTAGGGACTCGTGTATATGCTTCGAAAGTAGCCACCGGTAACGTAAAACGTATATCATATGGTACAGCCATCTGTAAATTGCCGATTTCAGCAATTGAGACAGATTAATATGATGCAGGATGCATAAAATACACTTGCAAATATCATATTTCGTTCTATTCGTATAATAAAAATCCGCATGATGCCAAAAACGTTTAGTTTCTCGGCATATGTTCTTAATCATTAGCCATATTTTCTACCCGAACTCGTAGAGTCTATTATGCTACATAAATTGACAGGAGCCATGAGCGAATCCCAGCTCACGAAAAGCGGCCGCGCACGTGCATGGGCGTAAGAAAGCTGAGTAGAGCAGTAGAACATTAAATGGCGCGAATCGAGCTTCATCGTACTGGGCTGCTGTTGCGGTGATGTCAGCCGCTGCCATTGTGAACTACAATCCCATTGTGTGTTAAACTGCATGGGTATCATGTTTCGATATTATGCTGCGCGCTATTCATGTTTCGCTATATCCTTGACTTAGTTACGCGTGTGTGACAATGATCTGCGCCCGCTGTCAGAAACATTACGAGGTCATGAATTATTAGGATATCAATATGTTATTATTATGATATTATTGTGATATTATGAAGAATTATTATGATATTAAGAATCAGTTCTTCAGCTTCTAATGAAAACAGTCACAGATAGATGGCAGCATCAACATAGACCTGCTGAGACTTTGCCCCGTGTTCCGCTTTGCCCCGGGTTACCCTACATAGCCAAATGTGGCAAATACACAGAAATGTACGGAGACCCAAACTACAATAATATTCCAGATTTAGGTGCTGTAGAGAGGTGGGAGGGAGCGAGTGAGTAAGGTGAAGGGGTGCGCCATTGCATCATGCGCAGGGACTTGGTGCAAGTCTGGCCGCAGGCAAGCAGGCCAGTTTAGATCTAGCCGGATGCCCCGCCTGTGTTTACGATCGCGATAAGCCGGAACAATACAGGTCTATGCACGGTCGCTGTATATTTATCCGGATCTACTCGATCTCGTCTCGTCGGAAAGTCATGTCACTTGTCTGCCATCTATCTGTGACTGTTTTCATTAGAAGCTGAAGAACTGATTCTTAATATTATAATAATTCTTCATATGAGAGATCGAGAAAATCCATTAAATATTAAAACGAGAGATCGAGAAGCTTTTCAACAGAATGATGTTTCTTTTTGCATAAACTGGGCATGTATTCCATGCTCTAACTCCATGCGCCATATGGCATGTTTTTTGTTTCATAATTCGATGTTGTTAATCGTTCGATTTGTTTAATGTTTTGTTCGATGTATATATGGGCTAAAATCACATATGCATGTTTAAACGTTACCTTTGATATTTTTCCTTTATAATTAAATCATTATTTAATCATGCGAATCAAATGGCTTGATTGACTGGATCGAAAGCTTCAATTCACGAATTGAATGCCTAAATTCACGGATCGAATGCTTTGATTCACGGATCGAATGCTTCGATTCACAGATCGAATAATTCGATTCAGAGTCGCATGGTTCGATGCGGTGCGTGCAGGAGGAATCTACATAATACAGGATCGAATGGTTTGATTCGCAGATCGAATGATTCGATTCCAAAATCGAACGATTCGATTCCAAAATCGAACGACTTGATTCCAAAATCGAACGATTCTATTCCATAATTGAATGGTTTGATTCCAAACCCGAATGGTTTGATGCTAGGATCGAATAGTTTGATTCTCTTTTCTGATATAAAATCAAATAATGTGAACATTTAAAACAGTAAATGCCTAATGCAATCGAATTAACAGGCATGGTATGAAATGATGCAATTGTACTTTTGGCAGGAAATTATTGTCGATTTATTGCATATAACATATGACTAAATAATCAAATATCATAGGCAATAAATCAAATGTTATATGCAATAAATCAAATGTTATATGGGATAAATCAAATGTTATATGTCCTTACAACAAACACATTTTTGAAATTAATTGGTATAAATGATAATGATAGATGTACTTTTTGTAACCAAGAAAGTGAAACAATACTCGCATTCTAAATTTGTAATGTTTTCATGTAAGAGCCGTATGGCAAGATATACAAAATTGGTTTGTAACTAGAGGATACCCTCAACTGCATACATTGGATGTAAAAGATATTATCTTGGGAATACAATCTACCGACATTATCATTAACCAAATAATAAACATTACAAAATTTGTTATATATAAATGTAGAACAAAAAATAGAATACCAAGCTTTGCAATGGTAAAGGCATACATAACATATATAATGAAAATTGAAAAACATATTGCCTTTACAAACCAAAAACAGGATTCTTTCTTAGGTAAATGGTCCGCTTTCTTTTGGTCACTACAATAACAATGTTTAGTACTGCTACTACACAAAATTATAGTTGCACCCTTATGCTACAGTATATATATACTTGTATGTCTTAGAAAATTGTAATTGAAGTGTCGTCAAGGTTGCCAATGAAGTCGTACAATATTTTGTTGTGTACAAGAATTACACTGTAGATATTTATTATGTTTACCTTTAGAAACAGAGCTAATACTAGCTAACAATAGGTCCGTATATGATCTAATGTGTTGTGTTATCTCACTTAATTGTGATATTATTGTACTGTATACAATGTCAATGTGATCTGGAAATAAAACATTATAAAAAAATTTAAAAAATAATAATATTTTAGAATAAAAAATAAAATAATTAAAAAAAATGTTATATGTGATAAATCGAATGTTATATGTGATAAATCGAATGTTATATGTGATAAATCGAATATGTTTATCTGTGATAAAATCAACCATAAAACAAAAAATCGAATTATGAAACAAAAAACATGCCGTATAATAGCGGTGTTTACTATGTGCTAACACGACATTGAAAATTTTATTTAGAAATACAGCGTGCTATATTATTTTAGATGCTAAACTGTTGCAGCATCATCAAATGATTTGACACTGATCCGCACGCCTTCGAGAGCATAAAATCCCAGTGAAGAGTTTTTAAGAATATCGAAAGAATTTATGTAGTTAAGAACACATAATCACTAATAATGCACCGGTAATTTCTATTTAAAATATACGCGACGTTGACGTGATAAAAAGGGCTCAAGCCTTGACATTGCTAGGTCGTAGCTATGCCGTGACCCAGGAATCGAACTTGGGTTATTGCGGCCACAACGGCAAGGTACTAACACTATACGATCACGGCTAATGCACACAGTTGACGTCATTATAATTATGCTAACTATATCCTGTATGGTGGCCGAGGGTTTGCCACTACAATTTTACCTCTGAAATAAATAAAAAGCAAAAAAAAAAATCAAAATCAAAATCAAGATTCAAAACGAAAATCAAAATCAAAATGCAAAATCAAAATCAAAATCAATTCAAAATCAAAATCAAAATCAAAATTCAAAATCCAAAATCGAAATCAAAACGAAATCAAATCAGAAATCAAAATGCAAGAAATCAAAATCAAGAAAATGGAAATCACCGAAATCAAAATCATCAAAATCCATCAAATCAATCAAAATCGTAAGTGAAAACTGAGTTTTACAGCGTTGGCGAGAAGCTGGCCAAAAGTGTGAAGATCAGTTTTCGGCGTGTGCCGAGAGCTGCCAAAGAGTGCAAATCAGTTTTTTTTTGCGGTATGGCCGAGAGCTGGCCAATATAGAACTGGTTACGCGCGTTTGTGCCACCTGTCACCTCGGGCATATATCCTTTGCTACCACGCGCACGTTTAGTGGCGGGGCCCGTTGGAAGTCGACTATGACGCACGGCGGCGCTGTGATAAGATTCATATGGGCTATACGCAGCACGGCGGCCGTTGATGGCCGACTCAATATGGCTAGGAGATGAGGAAGGGGAGAAGGGAGAAGCTGAGGAGAAGGAGGAAGGGGAGAATGGAGAAGGGTCGGTGGAGAAGGAGGTAATGGAGTAAGCTGTGTGGAGAAGGAGGGAAGGGTGAGAAAAGGAAAGAGAGTTGGTGAGAAGGAGGAGGGAGAAGCTGGTGGAGAAGGAGGAGGGGAGAAGGGAGAAGGTGTTGGAGGAGGAGGAAGAGGGGAGAAAGCTGGGTGGAGAAGGAGGAGGGGGAACGAAGAGAAAGGTGGTGGAGAAGGAGGGGAGAAGCTGGTGGAGGAGAGGGAGGAAGGAGAAGGTGGTGGAGGGGCAGTAAACTGGTAGAGAAGTGAGGAAGTGGGAGAAAGCTGGTGGAGAAGGAGGGAGAGAAGGGAGCTGGTGGGAGGGGGGGAAAAGAAGAAGGGAGAAGCTGGTGAGAAGGAGGAGGGGAGAAGGTGGTGGTAGAAGGAGAGAGGGGAGAAGCTGGTTGAGAAAGAGGAGGGAGAGAAGGGAAACGTGTGGACGAAGAGGAGGAGAAGCTGGTGAAGAAGGAGGAAGGGGAAAAAAAAAAAAAAAAAAAGAAAAAACTGTGGAGAAGGAGGAAGGGGAGAAGGCGAGAAGGTGGTGAGAAGGAGGAAAGGGAGAAGGAGAGAGGTGGTGAGAGAGGAGGAATGGAGAAGCTGGGTGGAGGAAAGGCGGAAGGGGAGAAAGGAGGACAGGGGCGAAGGAAAAGGTGGTGAGCACTAGTGGAAGAAGGAGGGGGCAGAAGGGAGAAGGTGTTGGAGAAGGAGGAGGAGGAAAGCTGTGAGAGGAGCAGG